TTAAGATGAGCTAGGATTCCTCTTCCAAAATTGTGAAATTTGGGACAGGGCAGGTATTAATAGTACAGGGCATTATTGATCTTACACTTAAAATACATTATTTCTCTGAAAATCTTCTTTTATTAAGCAAGCAAAGTAAGTGATTGATTTTGATGGGGAAAGGTGCCTCTTCCAAAGTTGTGAATATAATCATGGTCTTTGGTCAGGGGTTCTGGTGTTTAGGGCTGAATCAGGGAGTATGACTCTGTTGATTATAAAGTGAAAATGCATTTTTCTTTGAAAGTAATGTTTCTGATCCAGGGCATCTATGAGGCAAGCAGAATATAAAGTTGTAATAAGCAAGTTTTTTATTTATTTTAAATTTTTTAGCCAGATTTGTTAAATTCTAGACCACTGTTTTAAGTGTTTTGGTGCTGGACATCATTGCAGGGCTCTATTGATCTTGTAAACTGTACAAGAAAACTGAGGTTATTTCCCTTTGCTATTCACCTATGATAATTAATTACAATAAATACTGAAATTTATAATAAATAAATGAATGAATTTGAATAAATGAATTATGGTATACAAGAATTTTTAATGTATAATACAAAAAGTATTTCGTTTTTAATTCCAGGTAGACCTACTCTGCATGGTGATAGTGACAAATGGGAGTGTATTAGCACTGGCAATTGCAAACAGAAAAATTGATCTAGTTTATGATTTGTTACCAAGTAGTAAATTAACTATTCTGTTCATCCCTGATCATCCTCTTCTCTTGCATTTGGGCAGCATATCTTCATCTGTCAGTAAATTGTTTTATGTTATACTTTTGTGGAACATTTACAGTGTTGTATGTGCATGTATTAATATTGCTCAAGTGACGACACAGAGGCCCTTAGGCTTCTTTTACAAATATGCTAAAGATAACTAATATTAATGTTATGCCAAAAGTTCATATCCACAATTAGTTAAGGTCTGCATTATAAATTATAACTCTTAAGTTAAACACTTTAATCTTTATCAGATTTTATCAGATGTAATCATGACAATAAATATGATCTTATTTTAATTAAAATAGTGTGAATGATATGTATCATTGAACAAATCATGCAAATTAATGCACATTAATTATTGTGTGACCTTTTTGCACTAAAAAAGTATCATATTTGGGGTATTAAAAATCTAAATAGGCAATAACAAGAAGTCTGTGAGCCAATGCTCACTAATAATACCCCCGCTATGATGTGAATACACAAGTTCAGTTATGGACAGACACAGTGATTATCAAGAAGTTGACATCAGATTTGTACAAAAATGAATCTCAACATATGGCATGCCTAAACAAAGAGTGTGCTAAAATTTCAAGCATCTGCAATGAGTAGTTGCTGAGAAAACTTCCACCCAAATTTGTTATGTATGGCACGGACAGACGCACGGATAAACAGTAAGTTGGCCTCAGATTCATACAGAAATGATTGTAATTTACAATGAAACCTATATTTAATATTCCTAGCACATAATAACGGAAAATATTCGACGAGTAAAAAATTTAGGGCTAAAGTTCCAAGATATTAATTGTAAAAAATGTGTAGACTTTTCTTCTATATCCTTCTACCACAAGAAAATTAGTTCCCCATAAATCTTGTTTCTTTATCATGTGTATGACTTTGTGAGCAGTTTTAAAATTGAATATTGTATAATTTGCATTGTTTAATTCAAATATGTTATAAAAATTGAATTGTAATGAATAGTTTTGAAGTTAGGTTCTGACCAAACTTTTCTTAAAAGCTGAAGAGTGACATACCTTAGAACTGCTATTTGGTATGTGAATATACCTTGATGAGTTAGTACTTATCAATGTGATATAAATTCACAGTAAAAATAGAATGAATCTGCACGAAAATGAGAGGAAAGACACAAAAACACTGAAAAGCAACAACTTCAGGTAAACATTTTTTTTTTTTGAATATCCCATGCATAACTGATATTATATCCGAAGATCCAAACAGGCTATTTATCATTTCTAATTTGGGTAATTGCACTGATTTTTCAATACTGTTTTACCTAATGTTAAATGGCACCCTTTTCCTTTCCTTTGAAAAAATGTCAAAAATTTCCCTTTTTTACAGAATGCATACTTTTGCAACATTTTATACTCTTTCAAGAGAAATTCACTCCAAGATTTTTGTCTCGACAAATCTTGCTGAGATTAAACTGTTCTCAACCAACCAACCAACCAACCCCATTTATGTGAAAAGGATAGACAGAAAAAATACCTAGCTAAATAAATTTTTTTAAAAAATGTTCCAACCCATTTCAAAATTTTTGATTTAGAAAAAAAAATCATTTTCCTTTTCAATGCATGTAAAATAACTTTGTTTTGGTGTAATGGTACCACACCTTATCCAAGCTGTAAAAAGGGATAAGGAGATCCAGGTTCAATTCCTGGGAGCATTGTTCTTGTCATGCATTGACATATGAAAATGAGAAAAAAATGGAATTCACAGAAAAATTGAAAACTGAGTATATCCTAACAGCATAGTCTAAGCAAACATTGATAGAAACTATGTTGATGTCTTATTTTGTACATAATGTTGGAAAAGACAAATTTTAATGTGTAATTATTTTCAATTGGTAAAATCAGCAAGTCAGTTTTGGTTCATGTTTTTTTATTTCCTGTGCCATATGGCATATGTCACACATCAGAGTGCATAATTCATGTAATTACGAAATACTACTGTATATTACATTAAATATAACAATATGAGAGTGAGCATAATAGTTAAAGTACATAAGGCATGTTATATAAGGTAATTATGATTATGAAAAAATTGAAAATAAGAAAAAATTCATTCAGCTAATGAAGGCTTCACATGAATATTTTCTGAGATTTAGTGATTACATAGTTCCCTCACACTTTGTATTCTTAGAAGTTGAATTAATTTCCAAACACTACATTTCTTATACTAAATAAATACTTTTTTCAAAAACTTCAATCTGAGGTCATAATGAGAAGAATATAGAATGAAATTCATCTTCAATCAGCTTCAATGAAACTTTCACAAAATCCTTTTTGTTAATCTCATTAAAATATCTACAAGTTGAGTTTCAACATTCAGATTATGAGCAGAAAGCCAAAAGTTCTTGCAATTTGTGTTGAGAGGTTTACATAATGTATATTGTACATTAAAAGTATCTATCAAATGTTGTCTACAAGACTTTGAACATTGTTATACAGAGTACATGTATATGCACCTCAAGAAATCTTTATATTAACATGTAGATTTTTTTATTTAAATCTGAATCTATATGTGTCCAAATCTTACCATGTTAAGTTCATCCTGTTCATCCCTGATTCAACTAATATATTTTTACTTTGTTTTTAACAAATTTCAACATCCAACTTCAAAAATAGCATCTTTTACAACAGCATTACATGTATCTGTCAATACCTGATGATCACAGTGCACATAAGAAATCCAAATGAAAATCTGCAATACTATACATCAATAATATAAACATATTTAATTCTCACTTACATGCAGTTCTTATTCGCTAAGATGTCCATAATCCCTACTAAGGGAGACAACTCTTACACCTAATACCGAAAAAATCAGTTCATTTACTAAGCATAAAAATTTATACTAAATTAAAGCCATCTGAAAATATTTTCTTTCTCTGCTCTATAAGTTAAATCTAATTTATTTGATAATGATAGTTTAATTTAAATTCATTAATTACTTTTATTCTAAAAACACTTCTTCAACAAACATAATTCACACTCTTACAAAAGCAATCTGATAAATAATGAAATTCACAAAAACAAAATTACAACACTAAAAGTATTTCCAAACACCTCTGAGCTAAGTTATGCCGGGTATCATGTACTATGACCAATATCTCATAAAATCATTATAAATAATACAAATGAGACACAGTAAATCTTAACTAAGGGAGTTAACTCTTACAGCTAAAAAATTCTCCCATATACATGCATATAAATATCACAAAATTTAAATACATTTTCTTCTGTTTTGTAAGTTATAATAGTGAATTTCATCTTTATTTTTAAAACATTTATTCATCATTCTAAAAAAGTAAAATGAGATAAAATGAAATTCACAATACTCAATTACAAAAGGATGTATATATTCAAACACCTGTAATGTCATGTTATAACAATTATAAATAGGCATTTTTACCCTTCTTTTTGAAAGGCCCTACAAAAGTACAATTTGATGTTTGACCAGAACATTTCGGCATTGAAACCACGTCAACAAAATTCTTTGGAAAGTATTCTGCACCATGATGTTGTAGCTATTTTGCCTACTTTTATCATTTGGAAGTGACAGTGAACCCTGCAGTTGTTCTTGTCATAGAACCTTTAATGTGATAGTTGAAGAACAAATGAAAAAGCTCAGAGATTCTTTCCTTTTAAGGAATCGTTCCAGTTATGATTTTATAAAAGACTTTGAGAAAGGAGAAACAATGTACATTTTTGCACACTCAGAGGCTGTTGTTGGAAAACCAGAGGTTTAAAGGTTACTACAGAGTGTTTCTGACTATAAGTATATTGTGGTAGATGAGGCCCATTGTATTTTAGACTGGGGACATAACTTCCACCCAATCTTTTGGGAAATAAAGCAACTGCATGCTGTCAGACCAGAATCTAAGTTTTTTAGCTCTGTCTGCAACTGTTTCAGTTAATGGTGGTGTAGATATTACAAAATTCCTTGGCATGGAAAACCCAAAATTTATTAAAACATCACCACTGCGTGACAATCTCTCCTTGATTGTTCTACGAAGACCCAGTAGAAAAGTGTCTACAAATGCATCATATGATTACATTTTTGAAAATGTGTTTTGTGATCTGAAGAGAAAAAAAGAGGATTACCCAGTGTCACTCTCATTTATAAATGTGTTGGAATTAATTGGGTTGGATATGGCTATGAGGTATTACAAACAATATTATTGCAAATTAAAGTACAGGTATAATAAAACAAAATATTTCCTGTTTATCAATTTTTTCATGCCATTAAGTCGATTTCTTCACAAATTACTGTCACAATAATAAAAATAAATGATTCTTAATCAAAATTATACACAGGTTGCACAGTGCATACTTGGAGATGATATGTTTGATGGAGTAAGAAATATTGAACATGCATGCAAGAGTAGTAATGTTTCACTCATCAATTGGTAGAGATGAGGAGGTATGTTCAAATTCTTTGTTCCTAATTTATGTTCAGTGACACTTAAATGTTTTTTAAACATTATCAAATATTACATATGAGTTTCAAATTCACTGATATAACGTTAATTATAGTATAATTTCATTATGACAGTTTAAAAATAAATTGATAATTATAAACATAATAAATATTTCAATAAATGTAGACCAAAGGTATGATCTACAAAAACATCTCCAAACACCCAAATGAAACTCCATTACGAGCTGTGATCTCCACCATTGCTCTAGGAATGGGGGCAGACTTGAGACATGTTAAAACAGTCATCCATGCAGGACCACCACAAAACATTGAAGGTCATTGTCTGTAACTTTCAAAAAAAAAAAGAAGACATATTAAGTTAGGTAACATGTTGCATGATTAATGGGATTCAGTTATACAATCACAATCAATAGAGTTACAACTGCAGTTACTAAATATTGTCAATAATTTTGTTGTATAAATAAATTATACAAATCAGGGGAACTACTTTTAGCAAACCTTTGAATAAAAAATTTTTCGAATTCATAATCACTGAATCCTGTATTATTGGGATACTTTTCCATTATTAACAGCATACATACAGCAAATAGGAAGAGCTGGCAGAAGTCATATTCAGGCAGAGGGAATACTGTACTTTAACAATTCTGACATGGGTAACTCCTCTGTAAAGAAATCAATGAAGGAATACTGTAAAAATGAGTCAGAGTGCAGAAGGAAAGTTCTTAATACATACTTTGGATGCGAAAATGAAACATCTACGAACAAATATTGTGACATTTGCCAACCAGATTTGGGCTTCCTTTGGAAATTCAACGAAATTCCAAACAATATTCAGAAATCTGCTATTCGTGAAAAAATAGTTAACCTTCTGGCAGAAACAAATTGTGTGCTTGATACATATATTGTTGAGAAAATAGTTAATGAAGCACATTTGTGTACAAACTCCAAATATCTTGTATCAGAATTTGGATTGGATGTAAATCTGTCAGAGAAAGTAGCCAGCATTTTGGCATCACATTAATGAACATATGTTAAGGTGGCTCTCAGCATATACCACATGTATAAGACCTAATTTTTGTGTCACCTTCAGAGCATAGCAACACTTACGGATCACTTTACTCAGCATCTGTCTGTCTGTCTGTTCGTCTGCCACACCTTATATCTGAAAAACTGTAAGAGGTATGGACTTGATATTTTGAATATATATTGCTTGGCACTATGGCTTTTGTAAATTACACATGTAGCATGGTTACCAGATTCAGGACCTTTACCTTTGACATACTTTTCAAAATATTTCATACTGCATTAATAAACAGCAGATTTTTTCAAATTTAAGAGGTAAGTCTGTCATATTTAGCATGTGTACAGTTTGTCATAAAATATTTCCAGGGTATATAAAAAATACCATTGTATACAGTTACAATCAACTTGACCTTCACCTTTGAACTACTTTGCAAAAATACCCTGGACAGTTTAATTTTACTTATGTCTTTTTGAATTTTGGTACTTGGGATTTCATATTTACCAGGTATATCCATTGACACAAGTCCTTTCTTTGGGTAACAACATTTTTGATCTCTTGACCTTGGAGTTTGACTTGCCATTTGAGAAACTTTAATCTTCCCCATAAGCTGCCATATGGGGAAGCATATGGGGAATCAGTGTTTAAATAATTCACAAACATATCTTGACTGTTTTTTTTTTTTTTTTTTTTTTTTTTTTTGTTTTTTTTTTTAGAATTCAATGGTGATACTTGGTTGAGACTGGGTCAGAAGTGAATCAGTAAGTGAATATTTAACAAATATCCACAATGTTTATATCATATTGTATGTTACATGTATAATTGGTGCCACTGTTAATGAGGGAAGAGCATTTAAACTACTTTAATTGATCCAGTGAAAGGTGTAAATCATTTCTACAGCATTACAATAAAGATAAATCTGTGCACTCACCATGAAAACAGCAGAATTTTATTACATGCCCTTGGTAAAGTGGCATTTGTGAAGATCAATATTTGGGAGGATCCGATATTAACTGCATGTATCTAATTTCTGTCTTGATTTTTATGTTTTTCTGAGTTGATGTCACTAACCAAGATCATGCAATTGCAAGTACTGGTGTTTCTCTAATCCATGACACTAAATTCTGGATGCTCAATTTCTTCAGTGGACTTTGAATTGGGCTCTTATATGATGACATTTGGCGCCCTGGCACACAAGAAAATGGCTTCATTTGAATGAAGTGCAACGTCATAAGCGAAAATCAAAATTCACGCTCACATTGAACAGAAGCTGTTGCAACGGCTCTTCCATTAATTATAACTTTCCCGAAGGATAGTACAGGGATTTTGAAATATACATCACATATGCAGTCAAGGCAAGGAGTTAAAAAATGTAAATATAAGCATTGAATCATTAACACGCGTTACTCAATTTGTTTGCACACACCGTTGCAGTTATGGTACTATAACTTTAAAAAAAATAATGATTCAATGCTTAAATAACGACAGAAAAATTGTACATGTATTAAAAAAAAGGAAATCTTACTTAATTGTAGTTTTTCTACGTCTGTGGGGAACGAACGAAGGAGAGGTACAAATAAGTTACATACTATAAACTCTTTTTAGCGTTCTAAACAACCTTGATTTATTGCAAAATTACACATAATCGTATTTTGCTATAATAGTAAATTTTCCTTTAGATATTAGTTGCCCCTCCCCACTTTTTGTTTCTATAAGGTGGAACACTGGCAAAATTCCTTTGGACAGTTAGCCTTTTTATTTTTTGCTTGTCAGCCGGATTATTTTTGGAAGCCCCCCCCCCCCCCCCACTTTTTGGTCAGGTAAGGGTTGTTTTTTTTTTACCTTATCTTGTCAGATTTTTTTGGAAAGTTGCCCCGCCTCCTCCTTTCGAAACCGTTGCTACGGGTCTGACGAAAGCCTTCAGATGGAACTAGGCTTCTTATTTTTGGATGCTCAGTGGAGGATGGAAATGACTCATTAACTGTTTCCGAGGTGGTATATCATGTTATATCAATTTGTTCAGACATTTTTAAGTTCGATAATAATTTCATTAAACCAGGTGATGGTATACTAACCCCGTTAGTATATAGGTCCCTGGCTGGACTAAGAAGGGAGGAGCTTAGAGGCAAGCGACTCATTCGTCGTACGGACTGGCAACTCTGCAAAAACGAAAATAAGAAAACGCGGGCTCGGGTAGAAGATAGTCAAAAAATGTCCTTTGTATCACAGGTCTTGTCCTGTGCAGGTAATCCAAAACATTAAATCTCAGGAAAAAATCAGAAAAGTTGAGGTTCTTATCAGTATTTTAATGGAGAGACTTATATTTGGTTGTTCATGCAATATTGCGAATTTGCTCTCAATATGTTACTATAACATTGTTAAAATGTTAATATTTTTTATTACTATCACTATTTATGTGACAAAAGTGAGCTGAGATGAGATGTCAGAGATTGAAAAATCCCTCAACATGCTAATGTTTGGATTTTGTAACGCTAGCTTTGAAGTAATCTGCGAAATTATTGATTAATGATAAATATGTTTGGTGGGTATACTGTTGACAATCGGTGAATTTATATAAATTTGCATGATGAACAGTTGACAGTATATCGGTATTTTTTTTCTATAGTAGACAGATTGGTGGTAGACAATGACAATAAATTATAGTGTGCATTGTATTTCAACAATATGACAGGGCTAATTATATTTGGCGCGTCGGAGCGCTCACGCAACAGATTTTGTTTATAAAATAAATTATCGCTTATACAATTTTGTTAGCATCGGGCTCGATATCATAAATAAAAAGAGAAATTTTCATAGATGGAATTATGTTTTTGAAGCTTCAACATCACTATTTAACTGCCTGCATGTGGTTTCTTCTATTCATGGCCACTAATTAATACACTGGTTTTATCAATTTTCAGTGGCATCAGTTTTTGTGCAATCAGCGAATGTCTCAGTTTTCGTGAACACAGGTCATCATCAAAACTTTTTGATACTTTAATGACCATCAAATTCTAGTTTAATTTCACTCTGCAAAACACAAAACCACAAAAATGAATGTTTAAGGAATGTTGATGGAACCATTGTACATGTATTTTATATAATTGGATTTTTAATAAGTGGTTGAGAAGACTACAGTATGGGGAGGCAGGACTTTATGTATACTGGCACATGATCTGTAGTGCAAATGATCTGTTTAGGTATACAGGCCAGCCATTTCTGTAACTGAAGTTACTCCCCCTTCCTCAAATAAAGACAAGTTAATTTTTAGTAGTAGTATTTTAATACACAACAAGGAATCTTTGTCAAACACTGATACCAATGTATGGCAGCTTATTGCCATGATAATCAAGTCTCTAAAAAGGAGGTTAAACTCCTAGATTCTAGGGTCATTATGTAATACCGGTAAATTTTTGTTATACATAAAGAAAATTTATAAAAACCAAAGCACTAAATATTTTTAAATGCTATAGTTAATATATGTATCTCTCTATTATATAAACATACAGAGAGCAAATATCTTTATACCTGTATGAAGTTTTTCAAAGGTCATGGGTCATTATGTGACCTAATCACACAGCATATCTACATAAAAAGACTTACTCTACTTAGCAATATAGCATGTTTTTCATGCATGAAAATGTACAAAATACAGAAGTAAAATAATAATCATTTTATTTACAATGTAAACGACAAATTAATATAGTTCTTGATCGATTTTACATAGAGAGTAGAAAACTATGTGTTTATAAGTTTCATGTCTGAACTGCATAGTCTCAACGTTTATTCTTATTTTTCTTGTAGACCTCTGAATGATTTTTTTTTTCATTAAACTTTACTCACAGTAAATTTGAAAATCTGTTGGAAAATACATGTATCAATGCAATGCAATCAAGCCACAAACAGCTGACAAACACTGCACTTCGGTAGGCACACCTCCATCATCGAGATCGTTGTCTTAACAATGTAGGCTGTCACCAGTGTCTCCGTGTCAACATCATAATAAATATGCATTACTGAAATCATAGATTTTATGTTTCTGATCAAATTTTATACTTGATTTCAAGTTAACTGGTCCGGACAAGTGTCTCCATCCATCCCTTTCCGACCGAAATTCCTCCAACTTTTTATTATCATACATCAGACGTGTTTCTTGTGTTTTTTTAAAACATCAAATAAATTAATAAATGCGTTCTCATGAATGCAAAAATTTCCAGACACCAATATGCTCACTATAATTGATCACAAGTAGCCTTTCACAGAATATTCCCTTCAAAACAGAATCCTTTGCTGATGAATTTGAAGCGTAACTGCTTTTCAAGCCGATTTAGACCTTGCGTAATTTGTCAAAATCTACGATGAACAGTTAGTGCAATATTTATATTCGATTGTCCATCTCAAATGTATATATAAGTAATAAATAACAAGTTAAAAAACTTCACTGGTAAATGAAAAGGGTCTGTATGTGATCAAATCTTCTGAGAAGGCCTTCGGCCTTCACAGGATTTTATCACGTGACCGACCCACTTCATTTCCCAGAGAAGTTTTTAAACTTGTTATTTATTTCTTATATATATATCAATATATCAGGGACCTATATACTAGTATATAGGTCCCTGTATATATATATAGAGAGAGAGAGAGAAATCGAAAATAGGCCAACTCAAAAAATTTCGGATTACTCTAGCACAGATTGTGGTAAGGCATGCATGATCAAAGGGGATCTGGATCCCTGGAAAATTCAAATTTATTTAAACTGACATAGTTAAATTACTTAAGCTATGCCTCAGACCCATTCACCTTGTGATTTGAGCCAACACCTCCTAGGGAAAAATTTCTGGATCCACCCAACAAAAAATTACAATCGGGCTCGGGCTGTCAACTTGAATATAAGCGATTATGCTTAAATTATAAAGGAAATCGATGTCATTTGAGTGTTTTAATGCATGGAGAAAAATACTTTTGTGATATTGGGATGAGATGGATGCGCCGAATACAATTAGCCTATTACAGAAATGTCCTAAATTGAATTATTTTTTTAAAAAGATTAAACATTTCTCAATTTTAAATTTGTGTGCATCTTTAATTAGTGGTTTTCATGCTTCATTCATGTTGAATTCAGTTTAAATGAGTCATTTTTAAAATAAGAAAATCGGCAAGACTTTAAGCAATCTAATTAAAATTAGATGTTCCGAATCCGCTACCGCTTCTCAAACGTTTGAGAAGCGGTAGCGGATTCGGAACATCTAATTTTAATTAGATTGGACTTTAAGCTTCTATTTGATAATCATGATGAGGTGAATCAGATAAGCAATATTAGGCTCATTATATTGTACTTCAGTTCTTAAAAACCAGTCATTGAATATTCTTCAGCAATAGTTAAATATGTGGTTCTTCACAAATAGATGCAGTAAATTTAATTGTTTTTAAAGGCCAGCTGGAGGCAAAAGAAATTCAAGGGAAAATGGAAGTCCTGAGTAAAAAGATGGAAGACTTGAAATTGGAAGTGTATGAAGTCACCAAGGGAAAGTATGTAGATTTTTTTCCGCAGCGACTCCAGACAACATTGTCATTGAAAGAGAACGTAGATAAAGTAACTGAGGACCTACACGAGGCCAAGGAAAAGATTGAAAATGAGGTCAGATGTTAATCAGCTTTTCAGGTCAATATGAATAGTACTTCATTTTTTACTACTTTTAGTGAACAAGGTGCATAAAAACACTTGTCATGGATGAGTTAGAATTGGCTGAGTATGAATAGGTCCCGACCGCCATAACATCCTTATTCTTGGTGACATGCTGTTGTTCTCATGTTTGCTTAGTTAACACTTGATGGAAATTCTTTGCCCAGGTCAAGCTGTAATTGTGAAGTATCAATTTTAAAATGCATCTAAATAATCAAGTGTTTTTTATTAGCTCACCTGAGCTGAAAGCTCAAGTGAGCTTTTCTGATCACCCATTGTCCGTCGTCCGTCCGTCTGTAAACTTTTCACATTTTCAACTTCTTCTCAAGAACCACTGGGCCAATTTTAACCAAACTTGGTACAAAGTACCTTTGGGTGAAGGGGAGTTTAAATTGTTAAAATAAAGGGCCAAGTCCCCTTACAAGGGGAGATAATCAAGAAAAGACAAAAATAGGGTGGGGTCATTAAAAAATCTTCTTCTCAAGAACCACTGGGCCAGAAAAGCTGAAACTTATGTGGAAGCATCCTGGGGTAGAGTAGATTCTAAATTGTTCAAATCATGACCCCCGGGGGTAGGGCAGGGCCGCAATAGGGAATCCAAGTTTTACATTGAAATATATAGGAAAAATCTTTAAAAATCTTCTTCTCAAGAACCACTGAGCCAGAAAAGCCGAAACTTATGTGGAAGCATCCTGGGGTAGTGTAGATTTTAAATTGTTCAAATCATGACCCCCGGGGGTAGGGCAGGGCCACAATAGGGAATACAAGTTATACATTGAAATATATAGGAAGAATCTTTAAAAATCTTCTTCTCAAGAACCACTGAGCCAGAAAAGCTGAAACTTATGTGGAAGCATCCTGGAGTAGTGTAGATTCTAAATTGTTAAAATCATGACCCCAGGGGTAGGGCGGGGCCACAATAGGGAAACATTGAAATATATAGGAAAAATCTTTAAAAATCTTCTCAAGAACCACTGGACCAGAAAAACTGAAACTTATGTGGAAGCATCCTGGGGTAGTGTAGATTCTAAATTGTTCAAATCAATAGGTATCACAAGGGGGAAGTCTGGTAATGAACAGCATGGCCAAAGTTACTCAGGTGAGCGATGTGGCCCATGGGCCTCTTGTCTGTTGAAAAAGTAGCGTTGAAGAGCATGATCTGCATACTTTATAATCTAATGAATCTTAATGGCCAACTGAAAAATTGTAACAAATTGGAACTGTCTAATTAATA